ATAATTCAAACTCCGATTACAGATGCTAGTATCAATGCAATAAATAATGTATAAGAATTGCAATTACGAATTAAGGAGAACTATAAAAAGGAGAAATATCAATACTCAAACTGAAAGTAAAATATTATCCCTTATCGTGAAACAGCCCTGCCAGCCGTGTGATTATACCCTGTGAGGGGGCGGGGCCATCTATCCAGATTGAAAGGACATGCACGGTGTTAATGTTTACTGACAATGTCCATAGATGTTGAACTCAAAGTTACAGATGCAGCGAATATATCTCTTAGAAAAAAAACTTTAATAGGACATGGTAAACTCCCAGCGAATATATGTATCTTGGAAAAAATCCTTAATAGGACATGGTAAACTTCTCCCAGCGAATATATGTATCTTAGAAAAAAAAACGTTAATAGGACATGGTATATATGTTATATTAGAAAAAAACGTTAATAGGACATGGTAAACCTCTCCCAGCGAATATATGTATCTGAGAAAAAAAAACGTTAATAGGACATGTACGTCTAGGACATGCTAAACCTCTCCCAGCGAATATATATGTATCTTAAAAAAAAAAAACGTTACTAGGACATGGTAAACTTCTTCCAGACATCAAAAGTTGCACATCCAGTTTAGTCAGCATTCAGAGTTCACATCATGCAAAGTCTAAATCAAGCATGAGTGATGAGGCGGGCGCTGACAAGGGCATACTCGGCCAGGAGACGTAGCTAACCAACAGGAATACCGCGAGATATACTTGCAGTCACACAAGCACAAATAATTTATTGTGTGAGGTATCTTTCTCGTAACTGAACCGGAGGGAATGATGGTGTAAGTGACATCACATATATATAATTAGATAAAAATACAAGTGGGTAAGACATATTCACCTCAAAGACAACCCTTGGACTAACATCAACTGACTGGAGGCCGTGAGAGCAATACTAACCACTTACCATACATGAAGCCCACAATAAAACACACGGAGAAATAACTACTTACCAAAGAAAGGAAAAAAAACTAATAGAAAAAAACAACGACAATAATAGCATGACAAGGACACACCATCTGCTCACCATCTCACTCTCAACAGAGAGAGAGAGAGAGAGAGAGAAGAGAGAGAAGAGAGGAGAGAGAGAGAGAGAGAGAGAGAGAGAGAGAAGAGAGAGAGAGAGAGAGAGAGAGAGAGAGAAAGAGAGAGAGAGAGAGAGAGAGAGGAGAGACAGACAGCACACAGAGAAATAATA